GATTAGTATTTTTTGCCAAAATCCCAAATCCCAAATCCCAAATACTAGTAATTTGGGATTTGGGCAACACGTATAATCCATCCCTTGCCAATAAAGATTTATCATATGTATATACAATAGTATATAATTTTGTAGATTCAAGATTTTTGTTATAGACCAAATTAACACTTTCACTATTAAAATCTAATTCTATATTTTATATAGAAATTATAGGTTGTCCTGTTGTAATTGTTATCTGATATTTTGTAATTAATGAAGAAAATGTTTGTTCAACATTATTACCAAAAGATACAAACCATTTATTTTGTTCAGATTTAAATTGAATTAAAGAAAAGAAATGTTTTCTGGAAATTTTAGGACTTGTTGAAATCTCTAATCTATATTGATATAATTTTTCAATATCAAATTCAAAAATGTGAGAACCAGATATTCAAGTTCCAATTTGATTAATTTTCTAAATAATAAAATATTAAATATTAATTATTTTTACATTTATTCAAATAATTTTTTAAATCAATAAGCACCTGCAAAAATACAAGAACAACACCAGTTACCAATTTTTCACTATTAATATTTCATTCAATATTATTTTCAAAAAACAATATACTTTACTTTTTTATTTGATATATATTTTGTTTTATATTGAATTTTTTATTTCTTAATTCAGTTTCAATAATATAGTCATCAGAAATTCAATATTTCCTTCTATCTTTTAAATTTTTTTGAATCATAACTATATTCTTAAGATAATATTCTAAAAACAATACATTATATAATAAACTAAATATTTTTTTTTAGATTAGTACTGTTGACTTTATTTTTTTAATTCTCATATATATTTATTATTATTAGTATTATATTTTATTAACATATTTTATTAGTTATGTTTCTTTATCTATATTACATTTTAATAATATTATTATTTACGAGTAACAAATATAGATCATTTTTGATTATAACGCAAGGTCGATATCTCTGGTTAATACCTCTAGTTAATACCTCTAATTAATACCTCTTGTAAATACCTTTGATACAAATGACTTATTAGCAAAAATAGCTTATAGAATATTCCAGAATGTGATGAAAATTTTCAGAGCTTTCTTGAGATTAGTATTTATAGTCTTATAACAGGATGATAATTTTATATAAATAGAGATAACTTTTGCCCTTATAGTTAGAACAGTTAGAACTTAATTATATTTTGAACTTGATATTTGTAATAAATTATTAATAAAGTCTTTGTAACAATTTGGTAATTTAATTCTTTGACATTTATATATTGATTATTTTACAAAATTCTTTCCCGTTTATTAATTTTTAAGCAAAAAACTATAGTAAAATTTTAAATAAAATAGTTTTAGTTTTATTTTAACTTGAGTAATAATTAACTGCATTATATTTAACATAGACGATAAACCTTTTGAAAAATCTAGAAGAACTGGTGCTAACTATACCAGGACTCTCAATGTTAATCTGTTATCAAATAAAAACAAATTCAAATTCAATCCTATTGACAAGAAAGAAAAATTATTAAATAAAAAACTTAACGCAAAAAATATAACAGTAAACATAAAACAAATAGTAGAAACACTGAAAAGTAAATCAATTTCCAAAGTTATAATTTTATTAAAAAATAATAACAATAATTTGAACAAAGATCAAATTACTGAAGAAATGACAGGTGTGGAAGAAAATGAAGAAAACAAAAAATTAAATGAAAATCAAGAAAATAATAATACAATTGGTTGGACAAAAGTAGTAAAGAATAAAAATAAAGGAAAAGGTAAAGAAAAAGAATTACCTAATGAAGACAATACAAATGAATAAGAAGAAATAGAATCAATTGCATCCTTCGAAACTGAAAATAATTATCAAACTGGATGGCGCAACTCATTAGATACAAAAAAATATAAACTTTGAATCATAGCTAATAAAATTTTTGAAAAAAACTTAAATGAAAAATTGAAAAATGTTAGTTTAACCTTGAAAAAACAGTTTGTAGTAATCAAAATACAAACAGAATCATTCAACAATAAAAAAATGATTGTAGCATATTACAACAATGAAGAAGAAATGAATAAAGAAAAAATATATGATGTAGATAGACATGCAAATAAGTTAACTTATATGTATAGAGCTGAAATTTTTAAACGCAATCCAGATAAAGAAATGCAATATAGTGTTAAACTGTGGGACGTACTTTTAGGATTTAGAAATAAAGATATTAAACAAGAATTAGAATTGAAGTTTGGTGAAATCACAAGAATTTCTTTAAGAGTAAATAACATGTGACATTATTTTCAAAGAAAAACGTAGTGCACAAAAATTACTTGCTAATTGGAGCATCATTATTGGAAAAGGTTCTCTTAGAGTAATACAATTAGATCAAACAATTGATAATCTTAAATTACGTGGTCAATATGTAACAAGAATAATCAGTTTGCCCAATGATATCACAGCAAGATGGCCACACATCGAAAAACTGGAAACAAAAACTTGTTACTTTTCAAGAACAAAAAATTACAGGAAGAAAAGTGAAGCTATTATCTCTTTTCAAGAAGAAGAAGCTTGTGAGAATACTTGCAATGTGGTATGGGAAGGGTGTGATCTTAATATTAGAATTGTAAATATTCAAACAAAAACATGCCATTGTTATATTAACTGCCCTTGTAGAACTCAGGACCACGAATATAAAAATAAAGTAACAGAGAGAATAGAAAAATTTGGTGTAATATATAAATGATACAATTCAAGATATTTTAAAAATATTAATAAATTAGTTGAAGGACAAACATATGCAAATGTAATAAAAAAAATAATACAAGAAAAGTGAATTTAGATATCACAAGTGATCAAAGATTAGAAAGAATTGAACAAGTTCTGAACGAACTTTGCAAACGTTTAGAAATTTTAGAACATCATGTGATGAATATAACAGAAGAACAGATTCAAGATTGGACTTCAGAACAGGAGGATGATGAAGACATGATAGATGAAGAAGTTATGGGAAATAATAATAACACTAATAATAATGATAAATCAAAATCAAGTAAAAAACATGAAACAAATAACAAGCTAGATACAATTATCCTTACAATACAACAAATGACAAACAGAATTGAAACAATTGAAATGAGAGTAGAATCGATATCAACTTTCTTTGGATTAAAAATTTCTGAAAGCAATATTGGTATACACCAACATAACAAAAGTATTTGGTATTACCATAGGTTTCCTTCACTTTTATAATTTCTTATTATTTTATTTTATTTTTATTTCTTATTTGTATTATTAATATAGTTATATTTAGTATATTTAATTATTAGTATTTATTTATTTAGTAATATAATACGAATCATGTAAATCAATAATGTAGATTATAGTGGCCCAGTTACTGGTCAATTTACTGATCAATTTAGTGACCAACTGATTAACTAACTTAGTAGTCAACTGATTGGTACAATTACTGATCAAGATTTTGGCCAACTTACTAACCAACTTACTAGTCAAATCAAATATTATAAAAAGGATGAGTTTTCTCTCTACTCCAAGACAGATTCAAATAGTTTTCGAATAAGATTCGAATAATTCTAAATAGTAAAATTTAGAAAGTAATCTCAACTATAATAATTTTTATAATCCTAAAGTAACTGGATTATTGATTTTCTTTGTAATAAACTTATATCTTTTATATTAAAACTCTGTTCTTTTTATTAATTTACACTGGTCAAATTGTGAAAAATCAGCACTTATCGTATACCTATCGTATACCTATCAGGTACCTGATAGGTATGCGATAGGTACCTGATTTTCAATAAATTTTAATATATCAGGTTTTCGATAGGTAAAGTGAGTATGTCGAAGTTTGAGTACATATCGAACACATATTAACAGATATCGAACACATATCAGACTCCGATTTTTTGATATTTTTTTCAAATATATCAT